TATTAAGTAAACGTAAGTAAGAATTACTTCGTTTCGTTGTCCTACTATGTCTCACTGTTAGTACGACTATAATAATTTAAGTTATAATAAGTAGTTGTTGTGTGTGTGTGTGTGTGTGTGTGTGTGTGTGTGTGTGTGTGTGTAACATAAATGTAACGAAACTCGGAAAACGACCTCGACAAGTGACACGTGATAGAATTATTCTTCCATCAGAGATGTACTATGAACATCAAGTGGCATTACGTTTAGTCTATTACTGGAAACGTTTTAATATATCTTGCTTAATGATGTGGGTGGGTGTAATATGTACAAATTTTATATACTTAAAATTAAAGCCCAACCTGAGCGATCGGGATACATATTTTAGTAAACACTAAATCCGAAATATTTAAACAAGTCTTTAGAGACGAAATGGTTTCATTCCTAGTTATGATTGGTACTTGTTTGTAGTTTCATTCCTAGTTATGATTGGTACTTGTTTGTAGTTTCATTCCTAGTTATGATTGGTACTTGTTTGTAGGTCGTTACCGTAAAAAGCAAATGTCTTTTAACTGAAGTGTCTGTCTTCCCCCCCCCCATTTATATCTACCCTTATCATTTAAGGTAATAATGTTTTTTAATTGCTCAAATGTAACACGTTTATGCCAATATTCACCTTTTTATGCCTCATTTTAGCGATTTGTCCGAAGGATTTCTGTCGAAACAACGGCCACTGTCGGGTTGGATCAGATGATAATTTTTATTGCAGGTAAGAAAAGCAGTAAAATGTTGTAACAAACAGAGGAAAAGTGTTTTTTTTTTTAATCAGCTTGCAGATTATGTTCGAATAATTACTTGTTTTATGATTTTACATAAGTAGATAGGTAGTAATGTTGGTGGTCCTCCTTGAAATATGTATATTTCGGTATAATTATCTAAACAGAGCGAGAGATGTAGATATTGGTCATCTGGGTACGTATGTCTGAACAGTCATGAATAGATTAGTAAAACTTGTCAAGCCCATGACATTCTCTTGATTTATGAATCTAACTTTTGTACCTGTTGTAGCAAAGGTTCAAGGCTCTTCTCTCAAACTTTTTTTAACACAAAACTAATACCACATCTGAGAGAGAGAGAGAGAGAGAGAGATATTATAGTATTAGAAATAATTATAAGAATACAGATAGATAGAAACACACACACACACACACACACACACACACACACACACACACACACACACTACGTTATTAGTAAC